ACCTTCATGAGCTCATCTTAAACTTTTTTATTCCTAGAAAAAACCCTGAAAGTTCCATTTTTAACTGTTGTAGTACAGCAGTAGCTCGGCTGTGTCAAGCAGTCTTAGCTGGTCAGTATCCAGTTTCAATCTGAAAACTTTCTCTGATATTTAGTTGTTTCTCTTATTGCCTCTGCAGCTTTTTTCTCCACAGTATTGTCCTGTTGTTGTGCCATTTTCAACACATGGTGAACAACATTTCTGCTCAGTGTTGTGGCTGCTCATGATGGTTTAAGTTGATAAGCTTTAGAAATTATTCCAACAACCATGATGGTCATTCTCAGTGGTTCCGAAAAGAATTTTTACATTTTGCTACTTAAAAAGTAATTTTTGATGAAGAAAAATTATCTTCACTTTTTTCCCTCAGCTGCTCCTCTGTAAACATCTATATATGTAAAGTGTGTGTGTCTTCCAGCTCAGCTGTGTGGTGTGTATTGGTGGGAGTCATGTGCAGCCGGCAGACGGAAGTGTGGAGCAAGTACTGAAATATATGCATAAGTAAGTTGATCTACTGTTACTTATGATTTTCAGTGAAGCCAAAGTTAAAAACACATTCATTGAAATTATATAGAAATTAAATAGAAAGACAAGGAGACAGACACAATCTGGGACTTGGGTTTGGCCAAGTGTGAGTTGAGTCATCAGCCATAGTTAGAGAACATGGAGTCCATCTTTTTATGTTTGTTTTCTATTCAGAAATTCTGAGAAGACTCGTTTCAGTGAGAAGAATGAGATGATCTGGCGAGATCTGCTGCTGCCCATCCCCACTGACCCCTCACTCAAAGTGGATGTGAGTACCACCAGTCACAATGTTTGCTTTATTCTGATATATCCTGTTTTTAGTTTTGAAACAGCATTTTTGCTCTTGTTTCACAGCAGACGGTTTTTGCAGTTTCAAAGCGTGTGATTTACTTAAGTGTACAAATTATGAGAAGCATCTCCAAAACGGAAATACAAATGACAGTAAATCCAAATGCGATTGCAGCATAGGCGATATGGGCAAAAAAAAAAGAAAGAAAAAAAATCGTTTTTCTGTTTACAAACACTTTGTGATTTTGTTCAGTTTCCTTTTTCTACATAAACTCGTCACTATACCACGACTGGAATTTACTGTCTGTCCTATATAGACTATATTAGTTTAGATTATCCATTATCTATACACCGCTTAATCCTCACTAGGATCGCAGGGGGCTGGAGTCTATCCCAGCTGACTTAGGGCGAAGGCAGGGGATATCCTGGACAGGTCACCAGTCTATCACAGGGCCACACTTAGAGACAGACAACCAAGCACACTCACATCTATGGACAATTTAGAATCACCAATTAACCTCAACATGTATTTGCACTGTTTGGGAGGAAGCTGGAGAACCCGGAGAGAACCCACGCGGCATGGGGAGAACATGCAAACTCCACTCAGAAAGATCCCAGTGTCCTCACCGCGACATAAACCAGCAAGCTTTTAGCTGTGAGGCAACGGTGCTAACCACTCAGCACCTTTTCATTAGTATGTACCACTGGATGGACGGACAGCTATCACAGTATTGCTTTGACACTGAAGAAATTGTAAAAACGTGATTCTCAGGTAAATTTTGATGTGTTCCAGTTCTTGACTGGATAGTTTGAACCAGACCAGTTTTAGGTTTGCTGCCCCCAGTTAACAGGTGTTTTGCTTTATATCTTGTCTTCTGTAAATTTCATGTTTGTTGAGACTTAACTGTGAAGAACATCTCAAAACCCCACAGATAAATGATTCCCAGGATGACTGAAGGTGATGCTGAAATGTTTGACATTGCAGCAGGTGAGAAAGTCTTAATGGCTGCTGCTGTTTGTCTCTGAGCAGGTGGGACGACTCCAGTGTCCTCTGATGCTGGTTGCATGTGAGGACGATCAGAACTGGCCTGCCCCTGAGTCTGCAAAGGATGTGAGTTTGTTGGCATGACAGCTTCATGTGTGAAGAAAAGATTTGTGGTCAGGCTAGAAATCAGAAAAACTAAAGTCGGCTCAAATTTGATTTATCGCGTAGATGAAAGTGAACTAGTGCAGTGAGATATTGGTATGATGTCAAAATGAAGCACTCTGGTGTTTTAGTAACTGCTCTCGGTTTTGCCTACCAAATTATGTGGAACTTTACATATTTATTCACACATTAAACTCAACATAAGTGTTACCAGTAGTGGACCTCATTACAAATACAAAAGCAGACATAAGGAAAGACAATCTAGCAGAAGCTAAACAACTCAGATTGAAGCTATCAGTGGTGCAATCTAGTCCTTCCAGCCAACATCCTCAGGAAGGCAGTACTGTCTCTAAGTTGCAACCACAGCAGTATCATCCTGCCGGCTGACAGGTGACATGCACAGTGGTCCTCAACATAGGCCATTACCACATTAAAATGACAGCACAACTCAGTGTCATTACCATCCATTGAACTCTGAGGTGGGACCTCACAGGCAGTCACAAAAAGAAGGTCAGACTGCGTACGGTAGCTGGAGAAGGTGAAGCCCATCAGATTAACAGCTTCATCCTGAAGAAGTCACACCGTACACATGTAGACTTCCGAAGATACACAAGGAAGAAGTTCCAATTACATTCATTAGTGTCACGGTTTGGCAATCAAAAGCTCAGACGCAGACAAAAGACTCCAAAACGTTGAATACAATGAAGCAAACTTTATGTATAAAATAATTCAAATGCAAACAAAGGGTCCAAACGGACCAGCGATATAAACTACAGCTAACAAGTACCAGAAATATTTCAAAACGTCCTCGATAGGACTACGAACTATACTTACGAGTTAATCAAAAACTTACCGCAACAAATACAAACTAACAGATCTACTACTAACTGAGTTGGCGAGAGAGGAGGCTTAGTACAATATGAGAAACTCGTGAGGGGGGAGACAGAGGTGGACCAGATAACTTCAGCAGAGGGACACAGAGGTAATGGAAAGCTGGAGCCAGAAGAATCCAACAGTGGGGAATCAGGAATGAAGAGTGGATCACGGGTTGGCAGCAAACGTGGAGAAAATGGGTTTTATAATGATCCGGCATCTTAAATGCTGAATGCAGGTCTGAAGAATGACTGGCAAGCCACGCCTCGCCACAGCTGGAGTAATCGGCTGATTGCAACTCACAACGCCTGGACACTTGTCCCTCCAGCTTGTTGCACAAGAAAGAAGCGATACCAAAAATGCTCCACTAGATGGAGCCAAAGGCAATGGTCATGTCAATCAGAAGCATAAACTCATTCAATACCATTGCAAAACACCTCGCGCCACCTTAGCAACTCTGGCTGGAAATGCTTCACATCACTACCAAAACTTCACAAAGTTTGTGAACAAGGTTTCAGAAAGAAAAATCCTTTGATGTCATCTTACCTTTTACATGTATGCCTGCATCTCAGGCAGTGAAACGTGTCAGTAAATGACAACAAGACAGCATATCAAAAAACAGAAATGTAGGTTTACAGAGAAAAGCACGACTGTATCATGTCCTCTGTAGTGTCACCTATTGTGGTCAACCTCTACATGGAAGAACTGGAAAGCAGGGTAGTGAGCTCTTTCAAGGGAACAACTCTCAGCTATGGGTTGAGATATAAGGACAATACTGTGGTCAAAGTCAAAGTCCAAGAAGTAGAATCCTTTGTGGAACGGCAGCTCAGAGGACAGAAAAATAAAGTTCACAAGGGAGGATGTCAAGGAAAAACAGCTGCTTTTTTTTGTAAAAGACCAAAGCCTTGACACTGAAGTTTACCAGAAACTTAGACACACAAACCGGTAGCTGGTATTTGAGTCCCACCACCCACTGGAACACAAGTTGGTAATGTTTACAACTTTCCAGCATCAGACTGTGAATGTCCTTTCAAGGACCAAAGAGGGGAAAAAAAGCAGACACTCGTAGTAAAAAAAAACAAAAAACACTTCACCTGTGTCTATCCCAACTGGGGCTTAATGAAGTACTTTATCAAACAGAAGAAAAGTACAGGTAGTAAACATTGTTGTCCCATATGTAGCTGGTGTGTCTCAAAAACTTAGAGGGAATTTGTCTAAACACAATATCCTGGTGCATTTTAGACCTAGCAACACTGACAGCAGACAGGTGGGTGGATAATAGACATTCTGATAATAAGGAGTTACAATAGTTTATCCTGGAGATGTGGTTTATATGTGAGTTTATTGACAGTTTTCCTGCAGGCCCATGCCATCCAGAGAAAGTGTCTGATTATACATTGTGTATCTGACGTGAAAAAACACAACTATGGTTTTGTCTGACTTTGGTAGAAGACATTTACTGGTCATCCAAGCGTTTATGTCCCTCAGACATGCTTGGAGTTTGAGTAATTGATGGGTTTCATCTAGCAATGTAACTGGGTGTCATCTGCATAATAATGAAATGTTATACAGTTTTTTTCTAATAGTATTGCCTAAAGGGAGCATGCACAAGGTGAACAGTATTGGTTCCAGCACAGACCCCTGTGGAACTGCATAGCTAACTCTGTGTGTTTAAGACAATCATCATTTACATGAAACAACTGCTCCACACTAAACAACCAACTCAACAGTCCACCTCCATCTGAAGGAAAAAGGATACTTCTTTGAGGACAGCAATGTTCACATTCTGGACAGAGAAAACAGATGACTTGAGAGAGAATTGAAGGAAAACCTTTATGTGAAAGTGAAGCAAACATCTGGAAACAGACGATGTAGTCCATGACACCAGTCGTCAGGTAATTACAGCGCAGTCTTTGGCTCTCCCCTCCAGAAGTTTCACCATCATTCACAGTTTGAGTGTTGGGTCAGTAATGGGCCATTAGCTTGAGGTTGACTGTGTATAGCTACAGTTGAAACCAGAAGTTTAGAATTTTTTCGAGAATTGTTTATTACTTCCATCAAAGTGAGGAGTTTACATACACGAGGATTACAATGCCTTCAAGCTATTTGGGAAAGCCCAGATGATGATATCATGGCTTTGGAAACTTTTGATCTGGAATTAACATTCAAATTAATTGGAGGTACACCTGCAGATGTATTTTAAGGCACACCTCAAACATACTGCTTCCTTTTGTGACAACATGGGGAAATGTAAAGAAATCAGCCAAGATATCAGGAAGAGAATTGTGGATCTCCACAAATCTAGTTCATCCTTGGGTACAATTTCCAGATGCCTGAAGGTTCCACGTTCATCTGTTCAACCAATTTTATGCAAGTACAAAAGCCATGGGAGTGTCTCCCAGGAAGGAGACAGGATCTGTGTCCCAGAGATGATCATGTTTTGTTGCGAAATGTGCCATCAACCCCAGAACAAAGCAAAAGCCCTTGTGAAGATGCTGCTGAAGCTGGTAAGAGAGTCACTATCCACAGTGAAACGAGTCCTGTACCGACATGGGCTGAAAGGCTGCTCAGAGAGGAAGAAGTCATTACTCCAAAAGCAACATTAAAAAGCCCGATAAGTTTGCAAATGCCCACAGGGACAAAGACCTTCGTTTTTGGAGACATGTCCTGAAACTAAAATTGAACTGTTTGGCCATAATGACCATCGTTACACTTGGAGGAAAAAGGGGGAAGCTTGCAAGCCTGAGAACACCATCCCAACTACGATGCCCAAAACGTCTGACCCAAGTCATACATTTTGAAGGCAATGCTACCAAATACTAAGGAAATGTATGTAAACTTGTGACTTTGAAAAAAGTAACGAAAAATTCTCTTGAAAAAAAAAAAAAGCTCTCTCATTATTCTGTTTTTTTGGTAATCCTAACTGACCTAAAAACAGGAAAAGAATGCAAACATCCAAGATCTGCACATTCAATGAATTAAACACATCACGACACTTTCTGACAGGTTTGAAATCAGGATTTTAACTCTCTGTTTTCCAGATGAAGGAGATGATGGAGCGAGCAGGGAACAGCCACCTGCTGACTGTCCTGTCGTACCCGAAGGCAGGTCACCTGATCGAACCACCATACACGCCACACGCCAGAGTCAGCATGTTCAAAACAGTGGGAAAACGTGAGAAGTGTAAGTTCACATTTAGACTGGGTAGCTGTAGACTCTCAGAAATTCTCTGGATGACTGCAGATTGACATGCCAGAATCAGGAACTTGAGTTGTTACAGCTGTTTGTTGTGTTGGCAGTGATGGTTCTGTGGGGCGGAGAGACGGTGGAACATTCTCGTGCTCAGGAAGACGCCTGGAGGAAAATGCTGGTATTTCTGACGGAGAATCTGTTTCCCACCTGTAACCAAGTTGACAAGCATGATAGTAGCTTGACAAAGTAAAGCCAAAACTCCAGTAATTTTCTCTGAAATATGATTCCACTCTCTTCTTCTCCATGGAAACAGTCAGCATGTTTCTTGTGTATTGTAGTAGAGGCCTATCTAATATATGATACTTAAATTATCCAGGAGAGTTTTGTGTTTCTGTAAACAGGACGAAATGATGCCAGAGAACAGATGGAACTTCTCAGTGATAAATGATTTGAATGATTATCAAATTATAGTTATTTTCTGTAAACCAATCCAGTCAGATGTGTTCTGAAAATCAATCATTTTTCATTCTGCATTCTGTCATACTGTACCATCAATCCATTAATCACTATAAAATAATGAAGAAGTGTATGTGAATACCTTTACAGGCCTCTGAAGTAATCAGTCAGTGATGCTGTACCAGCACTGCAAATCACATCAGAATCAGAGTGATGGTTTAATATTTATGGCCTGTTAGAGTTACAGATTCTGACCTATAAATGATCCACACCTATATAGCATCGTTTCATCCTGAGCTTGGTACTGCAAAGCACTTTACATTGTGTTTCTTATTCACAAACATATTCACACACAAATGGTGGCAGAGCAGCTGTGCAAGGTGCTCACCACCTTTGGATAGGAACTTGGGGTTCAGGATTTAAACATGGCTGCCCTCAGCCATGTTTAAATCCTTTCAAATCCCAAACTGTGTACAGTAGTGAAAGCCTGCTTATCTTTGTGAAAAACAAAAGTCAAACAGCTGGAAACTCCGACATTGGATGCAGCAGTGGAGACAACAGGGCAACAGGTGCTTTGATGCTGGCTGCTAATGCTAATGTCACCTGTAAGCCTGCTGACGCAAAACCACCTGTCTAAAATGCAATAGCCTACAAATCCTTAGCACAAGCAGTTTTTGAAACTGTTTTAGCATCAAAATGAAACACACTCCATCATATGAATCAATCTCTCAACCAGCCACCACCATACTGATGTGCTCAACACAAAACACGACTATGAATATTCCACCAGCAGCTTCAAACCTTTTGCATTTTCAATGGGAAGCCACTTCAGTGCGCTGTAGGGCTTTATAAACCGATAAAATCCTGAAACCGAGAATAATAAGGCAATAAAGACTTGTGCTCGTTGACCTTGTAAGAGTTACAGTAAGTCCACCGATTGGTTTGGGTGGTGTTTATTCTTTACTTGCTCCCAAAACATGTGCAATCTGGTTTTACAAACTTATTTGCACAATGATAATTTTACTTCCTGCTAAATAGGGAACGTACATCTGAGCAACCAACACATAATCAAAATGAAATGATGTGCAGACTCTGGCTTCCCGACACAGTGCAGGATTTCAGCAGTGCAGAGCAGCAGATTGCCAATGATGAGTTACTGATGGTTGACATGTCGTGCTACTGAGCCACTTGTCAGTCATAATTCAGACTTGTTCAAGAGAGCTGACAGCACAATTACAATGCTGACAGACAAGGCAAAAAA